AAAGTGAGAGGCAAACAAGTGTTTACTTGAGATCCATTAGAATAGCTATGCTGGAATTATTAATTCAGGCAAAAGTCCAAATAATATTCCAATAAGGAGGCACGGGCCATGGCTATTTAAGAGAAAGGGAATGGGAATAATTACATCAATAGAAGGAAGGCCTTTGTATTGGTGTAGATAACATATATTCATTCTAAGCAGTGTTTTAAATTATCAGTCCAGTAGTCATCATAATTGCTTTCTTATTATCTTAGAACACAATGTGGCCTTAGATCCAGCCCAATGGTTATTTTGTCCTGTTTTAGCAATTCCACAAGTTCAGGTGTAAGACATGTAAGGTAGTGCCAGTGGCATATGGCAGCTCCGGCTCCATTTTTAAAAGTGGCTCCATTTATATTATTGTTTATAGTTGGCTCTGTGGATGGATGTGGTTGGACATATAAATTAGTTAAGTCATTTACTAGCTGTAACTTTAGGTAAGTGACGGAGACCTTCTGAGCTTCCTTTTCCCCATCTGTGAAGTGGGGCTAAGTTACTGAGACCTTCTGATGAAACGAAGTATAGGAAGTCCTCGCTTAACATCACTCTTAGGTTCTACAACTTGAAGCAGAATGGCGTATAATAAAGCCAATTGATATAAACAAAAGTTAAGTTCCTAGGGCATCTCACCAATGTTGTTACCTAATGTTATTGACAACCTGCTGTATAAGCATGCTGTTTCTGACACACGGCAGGCATACTATTCAATATAAATTCGTTTCCCTGTCTTCTTTCCTTCTTCATAAAGAAAAAGTTTATGATCCACAGTCCTTCAGACTTTCTCTATGAATCCGGAGCAGCCAGCACGGACCAGGGCTGGGGAGGTATGCCAGCGTGTGCTGACTCCCATCACTGTGCCAGTGAAACGCCATCGTATATTAAGAGCATTCCTTCTGATTTAAGCATTTCTAAATCCCTTTCCTGAATTGAGTAACCGAGCTGAATCCAGTGTTAAAAGACTGTTCTGTTTACCAAGGCATCGTTTCCCCGTCTTTTCCGGAATGTCATGATCTGTAACCGGACTTGTGTACCCAGCTGGCAGTTGCACCAGCCAGACCCTGAGGTAACCTTAGTGGAGGCCTAATTTTTTTTTTTTTTTTTTTTTTACTCAGAGCCTACAAATTCTATTTAAAGCGCACACACATACAGATTGCAGATGTGGGAATGAAAGCCAGGCTCTTCGGGGAGCTGAGGCCGTGATATTTGGCTGTAGTGAGCCCATAAGTGGCCCGTGGGCCGGTGCCTCGCCCAGGCATGATTGGGGCCCCGACCTCAGGAATGGCTTTGGCCTTTTGATATGGCACTTAGCAATCACATGGGCAGCCGCCACAACTCCCCTTTGGGACAAAAATGTTGCACGATTTGAGATCAGACAGGGTTGCAAGTATTTTTCTGCACTCTGAAGAATGTATAACACCATGGATATTTTAGAAAACTAACCCCTTGCTGAAGCTGAGGATCAAAACTATGATGGGCAGAGAGGGGAAGTTGAGCTGCTTACACTGAAGGGAAAGGACTGCTCCAATGAAGGAAAGAGCCTCTTCAGAATGTATTGTAGTTCTAATGTGTAAACAAAGCAGGCTGGAGATCACTGGGCTGTTTACTTCATGTGGCCAAAGGCCTTATAGTTCAGCTAGACCCCAAATGAACATTCCTCTTGGATGACTAATAAATTGTTCATTCATCCATTCATTCATTCATTAATTTACTGAGAACCTACTATATAATAAGTCATATTAGAGGTACTAAGAATACAACGGTGAATAAAAACATTTTTTCCTTAATTCCTGACTTTATGAAGCTTACATTTTAAAGGGAGAGGCTGATGATAAACAATAACAATAATTAAAATATGAATTATACAGTTGAACCTTGAACAACAGTTTGAATTGGGTGAGTCCACTTATATGCAGATTTTTTCAATAAATTCTGTAAATGTATTTTTCCTTATGACTTTCTTAATAACATTTTCCATTCTCTAGCTTAGTTTAGCATATCAATATAGAATGTAATATTTATAGTAATATGTCTTAATCAACTGTGTAGACAGGGTGAGGCGAAAGTAAGTTTACAAATGTTCATACGGAAAATATAATTATCCCCTGGGCCTGCGTTTTAGGTGGAGCTGTCTCCTTGAAGACTTGGTTGTCAGCTTTCTCTTCTCTGCTGTTGTTTCCTCTCCTGTTCTCTTGATTCTTCAATGTATGCTTTTTTATTCCTCATGGTCATTTTAATGGAATTTCAGGAGGAGATAGAGGTAAATGTGTTACACGAACTGCCATATTTAACCAGAAGTCATGTTCTATTCTCCTTTAAATCTCCCCTGTCGAGGATTATTCCACTAGTAGTAGTCCCTCCTCAGTAGACTCTCACAATAAGATACAAATTGAATGTCAGGATCTCTGATTCCCTGGTTTGGTTATCTGTTCCTGAGTTACACATGACCCTAAACATAGTGACTTAAAACAAACACAGTTATTTATTTGCTCATGATTTTTTAACTTGGGCCAGGCTCTCCATTCTGTTTCATATGATCTCTGTTCATGTGATGGGGGCAGGATGGAGGGATGCCCCTACCAAGAAGGTTCACCCTCATGACTGGCCAGTCCTGGCTGGAGAATGGTGCTTAGTGGGGCCACCAATCAGGACTCCCATCCTTCTCCATGAATCCTCCACATGTTTGCCTGGACTCCACAGAAGTGTGTTCTGTGAGGGAACTCCTGACCATGCTCAGGATTAGGACAAGCTCTAGTGTGCAAGCACTTAGCTAGCCTCCATTTTGCATCACATTTGCTAATGTCCCATTGGCAAAAAAAAAGTCACATGTCAAAGCTCAGCTGGGATCTTGGAAGAACCTACACTTTATAAGAGCATGACTACTCTTTTTTTTTTTTTTTTTTTTTTTACTAGAGGCCCAGTGCACAAAATTTGTGCATGGAATGGGGGGTGTCCCTCTCCCCAGCCTACATCCTCTTCAATCTGGGACCCCTCGAGGGATGTTCAACTGCCTACCAGGATTGGGTCTAGATGGGCAGTTGGACATCCCTCTCACAATCCAGGACTGCTGGCTCCCAACTGCTCGCCTGCCTGCCTTCCTGATTGCCCCTAACACTCTGCCTGCCATGCCAGTCTGACTGATATCTAACTGCTCCCCTGGCAGCCTGTTTGCCCCCAACTTCCCTCCTCTGCTGGCCTAGCCATCCTTAACTGCCCTCCCCTGCAGGGTTAATTGCCTCCAACTGCCCTCCCTTGCTGGCCATTGTGGTGGCCATCTTGTATCTACATGGGGGCAGGACCTTTGACGAAATGGGGGCAGCCATCTTGTGTGTTGGAGTGATGGTCAATCTGCATATTACTCTTTTATTAGATAGGATAGAGGCTTGGTGCATGGGTGGGGGGCAGCTGGTTTGCCCTAAAGGGTGTCCCGGATCAGGGTTTGGGTTCCCTTGAGGTGTGGGGTGGCCTGGGCGAGGGGCCTGTGATGGTTTGCAGGCTGGCCATGCCCTTGAGCAACCCAAGTGGAGGCCCTAGTATCTAGAATTTATTTACCTTCTACAATTGAAACTTTGTAGCCTGGAGTGGAGGCAAGCCCCCTGCTCGCTCTGTGGCTGCTGCCATTTGGTTTTATGTATCTTCTATAATTGAAACTTTTGTAGCCTTGAGTGGAGGCCTAAGCTGGCCAGGGTGTGTGGAAAGCTTAGCTTCCATTGTCAGGGGAACCCAAACCTTTCAACTGCTCTCTGTGGCTGTTGCCATCTTGGTTGGGGTTAATTTGCATACTCGCTGTGATAGGCTAGTGGGCGTGGCTTGTAGGTGTAGTGGGGTGGTGGTTAATTTGCATATTACTCCTTTATTAGGTAGGATTGATTTTTTTTTTTTTACAGAGAGGAAGGGAGAGGGATAGAGAGTTAGAAATATCAATGAGACAGAAACATCGCTCAGCTGCCTCCTGCACACCTCCTACCAGGGAAGTGCCTGCAACCAAGGTACATGCCCTTGACTGGAACCAAACCTGGGACTCTTGAGTCTGCAGGCTGACGCTCTATCCACTGAGCCAAACTGGTGGTTAGGGCAGAGCATGACTACTATATATTTTTTTAATATATTTTATTGATTTTATACAGAGAGGAAGGGAGATAGATAGTTAGAAACATCGATGAAAGAGAGTCATCAATTAGCTGCCTCATGCACACCCCCTACTGGGGATATGCCCGCAACCAAGGTACATGCCCTTGACCGGAATCGAACCCGGGACCTTTCAGTCCCCAAGCCGACGCTCTATCCATTGAGCCAAACCGGTCCCGGCGAGCATGACTAGTCTTAAAGGTATGGTTCATTGGAAGCCACGTACCCTCTGGAACTCAGGAATTCTGTGATCCTGTGCTTGTTTTCATTTGTGCAACTGGCTTGTTCCAGTTTCTCCCTGAGACATCAGGGTGCCACTTTTTTCTTGTAGTTTCACAGGGTATGAACATTAAATCAATATGTGTTAGATCACAGAAATATTGTAACACTGCCACCTAAAATGTTTCTGAATGGACTATGAAGACTTAAACTAGATATCTTACACATGGCTATACTAAATGTGTTTTTAGTTATTGAAAGACATGGGAGGGGGGCTGGAAATCACCCTATGCGGTTACATTCCTAAGTATGCCTTTCAAGGGGATTAAGTATTGGCTTTTGCTTTAGGCTGCCAGAGGTTCGCTTTTTGTCCTTTTGGTTTTAAAAAAAGTTGAAAATTAGCCTCTTTAACACCTTGCCTGGACTCTCAAAGAATAAAAATGGATATTTTTGAGATAACCAGAGAGTGCATTCCTTGGAAATTCTGAACACATCTCTCTTGTTGCATGCTTTCAAGCTTGTCCAGAACATTTCCTGCACGTGGCCAGACACGCTTGTGCTGCGTGTCCTGTGAGTCTTGGCCTGAGAGTGACCGCTGTGCTCCGTTTTGCACGCAGGGGTTCTCTATCTCCAGTATGGAGACGAAACCAAGCAGCTCAGGATGCCCAACGAGATCACAAGCGCAGACACGATCCGGGCCCTCTTCGTAAGTGCCTTCCCTCAGCAGCTCACCATGAAAATGCTGGAGTCGCCCAGTGTCGCCATTTACATCAAAGACGAAAGCAGAAACATCTATTACGAATTAAATGATGTAAGGTAAGTAGTCTCGCCCCGTGTGTGTGTGTGTGTGTGTGTGTGTGTGTGTGTGTGTGCGCGCGCCATATTGCATTTAGCATTGCTACAGTTTGTATTGAGTCCTGATTTCTTCATGGCCCAGTGAAGAAGTCTTGGTCTGACCTGGCAGGCATATCTCTCCCAGGTGTGAATCCACTCTCTGGCTTTCTGTAATTCACTTACAAGAAGTGGTTTACAAAGGCAAGGACGTCTAGACTTCTCCCACACAGATCCTTGCATGTTACCTCTGAAAAGAGCTTAGGAAATGATCCAGTCTGCCAGGTATCTAAGAGCTGTTAAAACCGAGCCCCAGGTGGAGAGACCTGATGAAGGTCGTAAGAGTTGAAGACACGACTTCTGACGGGAACCTTTCCAACTTCTCAGCTGCTCCGTCCCTCACAGACAGGCAATGATCCCCCTGAATCATTCTTCATATGAGCCAGTCAGAATAAAAGCAGTGGCATCTGCTTCCGTCCATGGGAAAAGAGGCTGAGACGCATTCTCCCTTCCCAATTGTTTCTTAAATCGTTGGGCCTTTACCAATGGATCTCCCTCCAGGTGGGCTTCTCCAGGGCACCCAGCAGAATATTTCCTAAAGTGAGGCTCCATGGATGCCTGCTACTGCAGTCGATGAAAGCATCTTTATCGGCTGAGGTGGTGGTGTGTATAGAGCCGAAGGGACCCATCTAATCTGTCCCAGACAAACAGCCTGAGAAACAGGAATTAAATCAACACCAACAAGCAGGTGCTAGTATAGCCTCTATGCATTTTAGAGATTAAAAAATTATGTAGTGACTATTCCAGCCTCTTTATGTTATGGTACCAGACATTCAGATGCATAAAAGTTAATGGACTTACTCAAGATCCTGCAGCCAGGTCATTGCCACGCCTAATCAAAACCTGACTGTCCACATTCTTGGTCAAGAATTTTTTATTCCCTCAGAATGTTGATTCACTGCTCAGCTCATGTGGGCCACAACCTAAGTTTCTGGGTGCTTGCCCTGTGGGAATAGCAGGCTGGCCTGTTTCTTCATTATGGAAACCACTTTTTAAATATATACCTTTAATGCATAATAAATGTAAACTGATACATATCTAACAATGATTGCAATGACATATTTAGGCAAGTGCCAAGTTGTAAGAGTAATTTAGGGCTTTCAAAAATTGACACATGCCCTAAGGTAGAGGGTACTGGGCCCATTGCATAACCTTCCTGCTTTTTAAAAAAACATGTTTAAATATTCATAGGTAACAGAAAAGTCATGTTTGTTTTTTGAAATAAATTATTAATCAAGCTGTCACCAATAAAAGGAAATTTAGAAAGCATAAACTTAAGCATGAAGTAATCATGTTATGTTTAAAGAGTATGTTTGCAGTAACATGGACGTGACATTTTACAACACTCCTCTTGAATTACTGCATTTTGCAGTTGGAGGAATTGAGAGATATGGTAATAATGAATAAGCATGAAACTAGGCAAAGCCTCTTTTGATTATGGAGCTCAAGGATGATGAGGTTATTATGAACAATTGGACCCACTGCCTCACAGCTCGTGCAAGAATTTTTATATTATAACTAGAGGCCCGGTGCACGGATTCATGCACTGGTGGGGCCCCTCAGCCTGGCTGTGGAAATCAGGCTGAAACTGACTCTCCAACATCCCCCGAGGGGCCCCAAATTATGAGAGGGTGCAGGCTAGGCCAGAGGACCCCACTGGTGCATGATTGGGGCTGAGGAGGGACCGCAGGAGGGCTCCAGAGTGTGTCCAGCCCATCTAACCCATCATGATTAGCTGGATTCCAGCTGCAAGCTAACCTATCCATCAGACCGTCTTCCCCTGGTGGTCAGTGTGTGTCATAGCAACTGGCCAAATGATCAGACAGCGTATTAGGCTTTTATTATATAGGATGAAGCCCAATATTCTAGAGTGTTTACCAAGCCTCAGAGTATTATTAGTACTTCCTTTATGCATTCTGAGGGAGTGTCATCTCATAGTCACAAAGAGGGAAGTGGAAGGAAGACAAAAAGGAAAGGTCCCCCAAACTTCCAAATTAAGATGATCCTTTTTCAGGCAAATTCAGTTGATAAAATAGATTAAAGCAAGTGCTTGAGAGCAGTGATCATTTCTAACATAGATAATTTTTAGTCAATATGTTTATATTTGCAGAAATGATTATCTTATTGGTCCTCATGCTGCAGTGTTAATAGCCTGATTTTTTTAAAAATTTCATTTTAAAATGTTTAATTGGGAAGTCATTGATTTATAAATTGTCTAGAATTTTACTTTTTAGTGTTTTGATTTACTTATAAAAATAGATCTAAAAATGTGGGAATATATATATATATATATATATATATATATATATCCTTTCCAATGAATTGTTCTATTTCTTTGCTTTTATGCATAAAATGCTTCAACTATATCTTATTTGAATGATCAAGTAAATTCTCAACATTACCATTATATAAAACCTCCCTCCCCGACCCCCAAATCCATATACCACATGGATTTTAAATCAAGACAATGGCTTTCATCTGAACCCAGAGACAAATTTCATTTTACATTCTTCAGTATTTTTTTAAATATATTTTATTGATTTTTCACAGAGAGGAAGAGAGAGGGATAGAGAGTTAGAAACATTGATGAGAGAGAGTCATCGACCAGCTGCCTCTTGCACACCCCCTACTGGGGATGTGCCCGCAACCAAGGTACATACCCTTGACCGGAATCGAACCCGGGACCTTTCAGTCCACAAGCCGATGCTCAATCCACTGAGCCAAACAGGTGCCAGCCATTCTTCAGTATTTTTTGAAGTGAGGATATACTTGTTCCAAGTTTGGCTGTCTCATCATTGTGTTGGGTTCTCCATATTTTCCTTGGGGAAATGCCACCGAGAGTTCAGGTTCAAATGCCAGCTTGCAAATGTTTCCATGGTAAATGCAATCTGGGCCTTTGGTGTTGGTTCATCTTGGATGAACATGTTTCTAAATTAATAATAAACCAAGGTACTTTAAATACCTTTAGAATCACACCAGGTGTTTTTTTTTGTTTTGTTTTGTTTTGTTTTGTGTGTGTGTGTGTGTGTGTGTGTGTGTGTGTGTGGCTCAAGTATGTTTTTTGGTTTCTCCACATCATTATTGTGACTTTCCCCCGAAGCTACAGGGTGAATTCCTTTAGTGAATTCCCACATTCTCACCTTCTGTGAACTCCCCCTTCCGAGTAACCTAGGCCCTTAATAACAAGGACTGCACGCTCCCCCCTAAGCTGACTTCTAATGAGCTACCTGAAATCTGGAGCCATGGTGCAAGCTTGGGCTAGTTGCTGCTTCAAAGCAATTACTGACAGATATTTAAAAGAGGGAAGCAAAGCTAGTCCAAGAATTCTCCACTCCGTTTAAAACAAAAACAGAGCCCACTAATCCCAGTGATTGGGCTGCACCTGGAGGAAAGGAATGCGGCCTCCTGCACACATTCTCTCCCCCGGCCTCCCGCCATCCCCCCCACCCCCACCCCCACTCCCCCTGCGCTGGCCCTGGAAGGAAACACCGTGCAGGCCAGGCTGAGAGGGCGTGGGTGGCCCTCCTGCTGATGAAATCTGAATACGAAGGGAAAAGGACTGCATAGTCACTCATGTGGTCTTAAATAATGCTAAGGTAGGAACTGAGAAGAGGTGTGGGGCTTCTGTTCTTTGCTGGGGTCTGACTGACTCCCCAGCTCTACTGCTGCATTCAGCAGGAGAGAGAGAGAGAGACAGGTAGAAGAATTGATCTGCTGCCATTCCTTCTAAATACTTTGCGCATCCACTTATTCAACTTGTATGTAGAAAAGTATTTTTTAAAACCCGCTGTGGAAGAAAAAAAAGGCATCGTAAAGATACTCGTTTTTATCTTTGTGGTACTTTTTTCTTGGTCTGGGTTGCAAATAGATACTCTTTTCCTTGCTGGAACTGTTTGAAGGGGAAAAAGCATTTTTTTGTTTGTGTGCATTCATGTGATAAGCAGAAAATGGATGTTTGGGTAAAGTAAGCAATTAAATATTTAAATATTAACCAAATCTCTTGGGACATATTGTAGATATTGCAGCTTTCCTGTTTCTTTAAGTGTTACCTTTCTTAGGTCAACATCTTAAAAGAAAGTTCATGCCACCCTCTATCTATGGGTGGAAAACTACACAGAAAGAACAGAAAACAAAAAACAAAAAAAAGGGAAAGAAAAACTGAACCCATTTTCCTTTTATTTATTTTTGCCTACTCTGTGGTAAAAGAACTTTTGTCTGGTCGCTTGTGGACAACAGCTGGATTGTCTGCTGCTGTCTTTTACCTGGTTCTTATGGGCAGACAAAGAAAATGGCCAAAGTAAGGCTCCTTTCGTCAGCCATAGTTATGGATGTTTTTTATTCCAGGAACATTCAGGACAGATCGCTCCTCAAAGTGTACAACAAGGATCCTGCACACGCATTCAATCACATGCCAAAAACTGTGAACGGAGACATGAGGGTGAGTGTTCCTGTTCTGTTTTCAGTTTTATTTGGTGGGTTAAACCATCTCTTCTTCCGGTCTGTGCTCCTGATGAAGTCACTCCCCACCACCAGGCTTTGGGTGTTCTCACTACACACTTGGTCTGAGGACTCGTTTGTTTTCTTGATAGAGAAAATTTTCTGGTCATCTGGGGCAAAGGGACTGGAACAGGGCCTCAGCCAGCCTCATTTCTCTTCGGCATGGAGTTTAGTTATGTCCTCACTCCAAGAGGATCCTGAAAAATCTTTACATAAATGGGTTCTTGATCCATAGTACCTTAACTTACTCAGAGGATCTCTTGCTATTTTTTTTCCAATTAAAATAAAGCTAGCATATAAGCAGCAATAAAAAAAGAACACTCCCATAAATAATTGAATGTAAAATCTTCTAATATTCTCACCTCAGCTAGTCCAAGACTTAGCATGCTAATTAAATTATTCAGCTTCTCATTCAGGACTGTTTGCTGTTGCTGTGTATTAAATATTACCAAATCCTACCCAAATTGATTGAGGGCATAGTACGAAAATCTGCATGGTTTAGGAGCTAAAATTCTTTCCATTTAAGATCATCTCAGATTATCCAAACATTCACTGCACACAGAGATATTTTGGAGGGGGCGGGGGGGGGGGGGCGCAAGAAAAGGAACAGAGAAACCAAAAAGGCAGATTTTCAAGCCACATTAATGCAGGTCCACTAGAAAGGGATTGTGTTTCTAACAATAGTGTTTCATCTCTGACAGAAAATGGGAGGAAAAAAAGAGAGATTAACTTCTCCCACTGTACCTCCTTCCTCCTCCCGCCCCCACGCTCAAATTTAGAAGAGGCTGTGCTATTATATATCATCTTTTCTGAGGATTAGCACTCTGCTGGAATCTGAAGTTTAACTAGAAGGAAAGGAAATGAACTGGTTTTATTGCCAAGGAAAGCCAGGCACCGTCCCCCCCACACTGGAGAGGAGTGCCTGAGGCGAAGCATCCCTGCTTCCTACAGCGCTGCTTGTCTCCTGCTGCAGCTGTAAGAAGCACCATTCACTCAGTGGCTCAAAACAACCCCGACGCACCCTGTTACAGTTACAGTCCTCTAGGTCAGACATCCCGTGTGGGTGGACTCAAACCTAGGGGTCATCAGCAGGATGTTGGCTTTTCTTTCCTTTTATTCTCAGTTTTTAGGCGCCACCACATTCCTCAGCTCGCAGCCCTCTTCCTCCATTGTCAAACCCAGTGAAATAGCATGATCACACCGCTAACCCTGGTCCCTTTGTGATCACACCAAACCTGCCTGGCATTCCAGAATAGTCTCCCTACTCTAAAGTCACAGGTTCCTGGGTTGAGGTGGTAGCCATCATTGTTCTGTCTACCACACAGGGTATGTGAGTTTAGGACCAAGAGGCCGGGAGGTCCGATAGGAAGTGCTGGGAGGATTTCTCGGGAACCCTGGCCTGGAATAAGAGTGATGGCATTGTCGTGACATCGGAACCTACACTTCTGGAGGAAGAGGCCTCTCACGTACTCAACTGCTGCTTTTTTTTATGTCAGAAATGGTGTGTGATTTGAAGCGAAGGCTGTGTGGCTGCTTCAGACCATCTAGGATGTGAGGTTTATTTTTAGCCAGTTCCACTCTAAATGCAAACCAGCACCAGGTGAAGACAGATCGAGGCCTGCCAACCAGGAAGCATGGACTGAATATCTCAAAAACCCTTGCCTTTTTTATTGCTTCGTTATTCTCTTTCTCAGTGACGTTTTTAAGAATCTTTGCTCCCTGGGAAACCTGTGTGTTTGATATGTCTAGCCTTTGAACTGGCGTTTCATGGTGTTCAGCGTTCTGTTTCCACTACAAAGAGCCCGCACAGGGGTCGCAGAATCACCTCTGAAAATCTTGTTTATGGCTGGGGAGGACACCTGTAACTCTTACGCAGATGTGGTACCTGCCTAAGGGGCCATCCGTGAGCATGGGGAGAATCAAATAGTAACCATATGGACAAAACCCATCAGAATTCAGAACTTATCGGTGAGGTGGTTCTGTTTTACACTCTCAGATGAGACCCTAAATGATCGCTTTTCTGAGTCGCCTGCAGCCTCCTTTCTACAGTAATTTCTGTGTGTGAGAAAATCAACTGTTGTCCCCAGCTGAGGAGACAACAAATGTGTACCATCCAACCCACGGAAAAGCTTTCTGGGTTCAGTGAAGATGAGTTAGAAATGAGAACTAGAACTGCAGTTTAAAAACCAACGAGGTGTGATTGTGCCTGCAGTTTGCAACTTGGTCTCATCACAGATTCCAGAAATTAAAAGACACGGATTCCGTCCGCCTCACCTCTGGGCTCTGTAGTGGTTGGAATTCCCTCTCCTTCCCGATGACTCTAACGGCCTTTCCATGAAAGGAAAGGGAGCTCTGTTGAGCCCTGTCTGGAGCGCAGCTGCACAGCCCCATGGCTGGTGTGAAGAACAGAAACAGAGCCCAGAGCAGGGATGAGTTGTTGTAGACTAAACTGAGCCGCACGGTGGGTGGAGAGGAGCTCCATCCTCTCATATGTCTGCGATGTGCGCGTGGCCGGGGAGGGATTTGAAAACTGCTCACAGGCGTGAGGCACGCAGCCCTGCCCCGCCTGTCACTCACCTTCTCCCACCTGCCCCAGAGGCGGCAGGTGGCCCTCCAGCTGCCCACACATGACCAACGTGCACGTGTGACATGAAAAACACTGGTGGGACCATGCAGAGGCGCCACACCAGCAATGCCAGCACTTTGCCGTGACCTTACACTTCCCTTACACCGTGAGGGGCATGCCTTGCCTGTGAAAGAAAAGATGTAAGGCTCTGGTCTCATACAGTCGTTCTCCAGAGCAGGGCTCTGATGGTAGCGGTGTTCCTCAGGAAGCACGCTAGACAGAAATACTAGCTCTGGGGTGGTGACCGAGCGTGGCATAGGTGCTTGGTGAGGAAGACATGTCTAGGCTTTCACTCTGCACTCACTGAGCATTTCTGAGGCCAGCCTCCTCCCGGAGACCTGTGGTTGTCTGCTGGAATGAGCGCTCCTGGCTCCTGAATCTTTCCGTCCCTAGAATTTTGTTACATTAAATAGTAACTTTGATAATTCAGTTCCCATGGTACTGTAGTCACCGAGTGGAACAGGCCCTTCTGCAAAGAAATTATGTGTTCTCCAGGGTTTGTTATGCACAAATGTGCAACTCGGAGATGAGCCGTCCCGCTCCGTGGCTCTCCATGGGAGCCACCAGCCACTTCCTGCCCACCGGGCCAGCGGCTTTCCCAGGTTGCAGGCTTTTCCACCTTCTTGTGTACTTTGAGGTTACTTCCCGACATTCACTTTTCTCCCTCTTGTATGTCCTTAATTTTTACTTGTGTATACAAAGTTTCCAGATTGGCACTTAGAGCACAGTCCCCAGAATCTGCCCTGCGTCTGAAATTAGTTGCTCAAACCCAGTTCAGCCGCTGCCTCCCAGACCTCTCCTGTTTGCGCTCTGCATTTGGCACCGATGCGCAGGCTCCTTGGAAACCTGGGTTTCATTACACTGCCGCCATTTCTAAACCCCTGCCTACATTCAGACACACCTCTTCTGTGCACTAACGTTTTTTCTTTCTCTTGCCCTCTATGGTCTTAGTGTTCAGGTGGACTTCCAGTTTGTGTGTGCTTTAATTTGTGTGTGTTTTTTAATCTTCACCTTTACATTTGTGATTTTTTTTTTTCTAACTACTGATTTAATCATGGGAGTGTGGATAATCCTTGAAACGATATCCCTGGCTCTGCCATTTCTTAAGAGTTCAAGACCCAAATGCTCAATTTCCAAGTGGTCGTCTCTACATGGATAGTCTTCCCATGTTTCCAGTGTATGCTGTTGCTGAAGACACACACATACAAAAAAAACCATAATCTTTTCTTTTTTTCTTCCAAGCCATTTCCTCCTGTTTTTCTCTTTGTAAGAGGTGGTGCGTGCGTGTGTGTGTGTGTGTGTGTGTGTGTGTGTGTGTGTGTGTGTGTGTGTTTTGAGGGTTGGGGAGAAGAGATTTAAAAAGTTGACCTATCAGTGAGTCTTCAGTTGCCCAACTCCTGTTTCTCAGCACATCCTCCTGTCACCGGGACCATCCCACTGTGCAAGACCTCTGACAGATGGCCCTTCGCCATGGCCTGCACTGCTACACTTACAATAGCTAACTTTTTTGAGCATCAACTAATTACTTTTCTGGGTAATTTTATTTAATATTCAAGACAGCATTTGAAGCAGTGTTGCCTCATGTTTATAACTCAGGAAACATTTGTTTAGGTATGTTAAAAGATTTGCCCAAGGCTGCACAGCTACTGGTAGAGCATGGTGGACTCGAGATGTGAACCTAGGCCTCTGCACTCCACATTCCAGGCTGTTAAGAACTGTGGCCCTACTGTAGGTGCAGCATTCACTGTTTTTCTTTTTTTCTTTTTAAAAAAATATATTTTATTGATTTTTTACAGAGAGGAAGGGAGAAGGATAGAGAGCTGGAAACATCAATGAGAGAGAAACATCCATCAGCTGCCTCCTGCACACCCAATACTGGGGATTGTGCCCACAACCAAGGTACATGCCCTTGACTGAAATCGGACCTGGGACCTTTCAGTCCACAGGCTGATGCTCTATCCACTGAGCCAAACCGGTTTAGGCGGTTCACTGTTTTTCTACCGGTCAGTTAGGCAACAGCCTTTAACCAGTCTCCTCATCTCTTCCTACCCCACTCTAACCACTGCTTCTGAAGTCATCTCCCTAAGGCCACCTTCCGGTTGTGCAAAGAATAGCACAGGCCAATGATCAGTATCCTCTTCGCCCAACACCCAGCAAAGCTGCCTCACAGTTCTTGCTCCAAGGGTATGACATGCACTCTCCCACCTCACATACCTGCCTTTCAAAAGTCCATTCGGCATACGATGGGACAATTGCCTGATTCCAGTGACAGAATGCTGGCATGAAAAAAAAAAAAAATGGTGGGAGGGAACACT